AAGCTGTCTTATGTTGTCACAAAAACTGGTCTTTAGCCAAAATGTTTCTAGGAACAAAAAGAAGCTTATGAAGGCAGAATGAGCCTTCCCCCTGGAAAAAGAAGGGAAGAGAAGGGTTGATGTATGGAGGAACATGGGCATTGGTAACCTTGGAGAGAGCAGTGATGGGGTCAGAAGCCAGGTTGCTAGAAGTTGAGAGGTGAGTGAGAGGAAAGGAAATGGGGACAATGATTAAGGATGGACACCTTTTTCTGGGAGCTCAGCTGTGAAAGGGAGAGAGAGATCACAGTAGCTTGAGGAAAATGGTAGAATCAAATGAAGTTTGTTTTTTTTTAAGAATAGGAGAGGCTTTGGCATATTTGTGGGCAGTAGGAAAGGAGCCACAAGAAAAGGAGAAATTGAAATCTAGAAAGAGAAAGGGTGTGCTTGTGGGGGTAATTAGTTGGAGAAGATAAAAAGGAATAGAATCAAGGGCAAAAGTTACAAGGGAAGGTTTTCTATTTTACGAGGAAGGGTTCAATACAAGAGGAGGGGGAGGATTATAGCAGGAAATAGCTCCAATTCAAAAATAAAAGGCATCAATAAAAAAAGAAGCAATCAATTTCTGTAATAAAATGCCAGCAAAGTCAATCAAATACTAGCCAGTTGGCCATTCTACCTAGGATCTGCACGATAACGCACTAAATAATTATTGGTCACTAACCCCTTAGTGTGAATTAGTTCATGAGATTCTATCTTCCCAGGCTGCTAGCTGAGATCGGGGCACCAAGGAAATGGGAGTTTGGGTGGTTTCATTGCTGCTTACCCAACAGCCCAGGGAGAAACATTGCTTGGTCTCCCACAGTGAGACATTACCAAAAGACAGCAATCCTGGTATAGATTTGGAGTGAGAAAATCTGGTTTTGAATTTTGCTCTATTTATCAAATGAGAATATCGTGTAAAGTGCTTTGGAAAACTCAAAATCCACATAAATGTCAGTTGTTATTATTCTTATTATTACTTGTAATAATGATAACAAAAATAATAATAGTATTGGAGGCAGCTGGGTAGTATAGTTCATAGAGCGCCAGGTCTGGAGTTAGGAAGATCTGAGTTCAAATCTGGCCTCAGGCACTTAGTAGCTGTGTGACCCTGCACAAGTCCCTTAATCTCTGTCTCAGTTTCTTCAACTGTAAAGTGAAGATAATAACCTGCCTCCTAGGGTTGTTATGAGGATCAAATGAGATAATATTTGTAAAGCTCCTAGCACAGCGCCTGACTCATAGTAAGCACTTAATAAATGTGTGTTCTCTTCCATCATCATTTTTATTATTACTAGTATTATTATTATTATTATTACTGTGAATGGCCTTGGGCAAATTACTTCTTTTCTCTGGGCTCTAGTTTTCTCATCTGTAAAATGGGTGTTGGCTCAAAGCGTCCTTCTATTTCTACAATGTGAGTGACACAAACTGTTAACCTCTCAAAAAAATACACATTTTGGCAATCACAAATTTTTTTTTAAGCTAGGCAATGGGGTTAAGTGACTTGCCCAGGGTCACACAGCTAGTAAGTGTTATGCGTCTGAGACCCGATTTGAACTCAGGTCCTCCTGACTCCAGGGCTGGTACTCTATCCACTCACAAATTCTTTACTGCAGCCAAACTGGACAATTAGCTATTCCCCCAAACTGACATCATCCCCCACCTTCCTGACTTTCTACAAGTCATCCTCCATGCCTGGAATAGGACCCTCTCCTCAGTCTTGCCTCAGGCTGCTTTGTCTTCCTCCAATGCTCGGCTACCACCTGCCCTGTGAAGCCTTCCCTGATCTCCCTAGTTATTCCTACTCTCACCCTCCTCATTTTCCTTTGTTCTATATTTATGTGTGTGTGGCTTCCAGAGAACTCTGTCCTTGGAAGCTGCCCCTCTCACTGTGACTAATGGGATTTTTCCCTGGAAGTTTACAAGAGGGTCTGGCTACACATGTAGATGTTGTAAAGCAAATTCCTCTCCCTATGTCCCACAGGAAAAATGTAAACTCCTTAACAGCAAATACTGCATTTTTGTCTTCGTAGCCCCTGTACAAAGTACAGTGGCTAGCATGCTCTGTGCTCGTTGATCTGTGGTTGGAGAATGAAACAGAATTGATCTGTGATGTCCTGTTGTTGAATAAACTGAGTAGAATGAACCAAGCTTAGAGAAAGGCAGAGTCCCAGGGTGGGCTGTCCCAGGGCACTGGGGACCAGAAAAGAGAGACGGAGAGGTAACTGCTACTCCCAAAACTTATCCTGGCTCCCCTTCCCTCATCCACTCCCCAAAAAGAGGTGTCAGGGACACCGTGGGGAAAGGAGGTAAGAACAGTTCCTCCTTCCCTCCCTTCCCCTCAGTGATCTACGTGGGGAAAAAAAATGTTCAACGGTTAACTTTAGGAGACGATACGCTGTGAAGGCCAATGGAGGAAGAAATTAGGGAGAGTGTGGAATAATGAAGAAATACTTCATTGGGAGCCAGGGTGCCTGGGTTTGAATCACAGCTCTGCTCCTTCTTACCATTTGTCCTTAACTTCTAGGAGCCTCAATTAAATCATCAATAATTGGAGAGTAGATTAAGTGACCTCTAAATTCCCTTTCAGCTCCAGGGTGATGAAATTAAATTCTAAGGTCACAGTATAGAGTAGAAGGAAATCTAATCTATCAAAGCTTATCAAAAGATTTCCTCAAGAGCAATTGGAAAAGTTATTTTGAGGAATAATGGCTTTAAAAAATCACAATATATTGCGTTGTATGATCAGTTGTTTTTCAGTCATGTTTGGCTCTGTGACCCCATTCTGGCATTTTGTTAGCAAAGATACTGGAGTGGTTTGCCATTTCTTTCTCCAGGTCATTTTACAGATAAGGAAACTGAGGCAAACAGAGTTAAGTGATTTGCCCAGGATTACACGGCTAGGAAATGTCTGAAGCCAGATTTGAACTCAGGGAGATGAGGTTCATCACTCCAGGCCTGGTGCTCTATGTACTATGACGCCACCTACCTGTATAACACTTAACCAGACACATTCATTCTCAGCTCTCACTTGAGTTATACAACAATGTTGTGAAGTAGCCTCATCTTATAACTAAAGGAAACAGGTTCAAAAACATCAAGTCCAAGGCCATAGCTGTATTAATTAGCTAAGCCAGAACTAGAACTCAAGTCTCCTGAACGTTAGTCACTGTTCTTTCCATTGCCTTAAGAAAGAAAGCAACTTCAGAGAAGTGGCAGAAGTATGACATGTGTTTAAAAAAAAAAATCTGAAGCTATACCAGAGGTTCATGCTCTGCAGACAGGAACAAGTAGAGTTCATTAAGTTTCTTACAGACCGTTTGTCCGAAACTATGCCAGTCAGTTCACTAAGGTAGGAAAGGACGCAGGAAACTAGACAGAGAGCCTCTGTCCAGAAAGTCTGTAGGTGGCCAGTGCTTTCTCTATATTCCCAGGAGCCCCCAGGTAGGGAGAGAGAATATAAACTCCCTGAGGGCCGGGACTTTCATTGTTTTATCTTTGCAACCACATCTTAACACAGTGCCGGGCATTTAAATAAAGCCCTCAACGCGGACTGCAAGGACTGACGTCAGCCAAGCAGTGTTGAGGAGAGGAGCTGAACTCTTCACTGCACCTTGGCCATAGGACAGGTCACTGATTGGCTAGGGACAGTGGATAGGGAGCGGTCGATGAGAAGAGCTATCAGTGAGAGTTCAGCATATAATTGGGTCAGTTCAGAGTCACTAGGTTAGGAAATTAGTGAGCCAGAGAGATCCTGAGAAGTCAGTAGATAAGATGTATAATTGGGAATGGTCAATGGGTAGAGAAAGAGGAGCTGGTGCAGTGGATAGAGCACCAGGCCTGGTGTCAGGAAGATCTGAGTTCAAATCTAGTCTTGGACATGTACTAACTGTGTGACCCTGGGTAAGTCACTTTGCCTCTGTTTCCTCATCTGTAAAATGTGAATAATAATACCACCTATCTCCCAGGGTTGTTGTGAGGACCAAATGACATAATAATTGTAAAGTGCTTAGCACAGTGCCTGGCACATAGTAAGCACTATGTAAATTATAACTATTATTAATATTATTATTCTCTCTCTACCCAATAGAATGTAAGTTACTTAAAGGCAGGGGCTATTTTACTTTCGTCTTTGTATTCCCAGCACCTATCCCAGAGACTTGCACATAATAGGCCTTTAATAAATGCTTGTGAGTTGAGTTAAAACCCTTTCCCAGCCATCCTTTCACTAGACATGTTGTTGTTCAGTCATTTCAGTCCTGTCCAACTTTTCGTGACCCAATTTGGGGTTTTCTTGGCAAAAATACTGGAGTGGTTCGCCATTTTCTGCCATTTCCATGTCTAACTCATTTTACAGATGAGGAAACAGAGGCAAACAGGGTTAAGTGACTTGCCCAGGGTCACACTACTAGTAAGTGTCTGAGGCCAGATTTGAGCTCAGAAAGATGAGTCTTTCTGACTCCAGGTCCAGCACTCCATGCACGATGGCGCCACCTAGCTGCCCTTTGTTAAACATAGTCCCCCAGTATGCCCCTTGCTGTAGGCTGCCTGACCCAGGCCTGGCTCCATGTTATTTGCTTATCCCTGAGTTTTTTCTCCCATTTGCCTGTCTGGCTTTCAAAGGAACCAAAGCATTACAGAAACAGATTGAATGCTGGTATTTATTTATTTATTATCACAGGTTGGGGAGAGGGGGTAGGCGCCAGGGAAAGCTGGTAGAGTATAACTGAAGGACTCAGAATATTAACACTGCCCAAGGGGTATGCTTCACTACTATAGACAATGTTTTCACCCAAATTCTTAACCCCAGAGGCCTCTTGGCAGCTCCTTGACTGGAACCGGTGCCTTAGCAGAATGTAAGATCTCGCCCCCAAACCTAGTAGGAAGTCTCCCTGGTCACTTGTGCTTCCTGTCACTAGTATATAGGATCTGGGCAGGTTGGCAGCATGAAGCAGCAAATAAATAGATCATCCATCCTTTGAGCAACCTTTGCAATTGGTGCATTAGTAAGATGGCACCAAATTCCACAGTCCCTGAAGATACCCATTCCTATGGTCAGGAAAGAAATGCAGAGGGACATTTATATTGCTTAAATGCAATGTGGGTTGTTCCTCAAAAAGCAATTCTTGGCATCTGCAAGAGAATGAGAAAAGATTTTTTAGAACCAAGGCTAAGAGCAGTGTTAGGAAGGCGGTAGAGGCATGGTAGAAAAGATATTTGACTTGAGAGTCAGCAGACCTGGGCTCAAATACTAGCTATGTGCCCCTGGGCAAGTCCTAAAACCATAGCTCTAGAGCCAGAAAGAAGCTGAGGTCAGCTAGTCCAATCCTGTGGTAGAATCGCTATCTACCAGGTTCTCTCCCCTCATCTGGGAAAGGCTAATTGATTCCCTAAAGGCAAAAAGAAAGGTGTCCCTAAATTTTACTGGCCCAGGGGATGAGGCTCAAACTATGTTTCTCCTGGTGGCCTCTGGCCCTATTGATGCGACATAAAAAGGCCCACCCATGTAGAGTTAAGGCCCTTCAGACTTGGTAGATATCCCCAGGCCATGAGAGTCATCACACTCTGCCCTGTTGATCCAACCTGAGTTAAGTACTATAGTACCCTTGTCAGGTATCCTTTCTTTTTGATGACTAAGTAAACCTCCTCTTGTCAAGCATCGAATGGCCCCTGAATGTCTCTTTTGTGCCACTATAGAACCCAGACTGACAGGGGATTGGACTGAGTCAGGTCTATCCATTAAAACCCTTGCATTCAGCAACATGGTGGGATGACCAACTTTGATACTTAGCTCTTCTCAGCAATGAAATGATCTAAGAGAATTCCAAAGTATTCATAATGGAAAATGGTATCCACATCCAGAGAAAGAACTATTGAGTCTGAATGCAGATGGAAGCATACTATTTTCTCTCTTTTTTTCTTTCTCATGGTTTTTCCTTTTTGTTCTGATTGATCTTTCACAATATGAGTGATATGTTTAACATGATTATACATGTATACCTTATATCAGATTATTCACTGTCTTTGGGGGGGGAGGAGAGGGAGGAAAGGAGAAAAGAAATTTGGAACTCAAAATCTTATAAAAGTGAATGTTGAAATTTTTACAGCCAGTGTCTCTGGTAAAGCCCTCATTTTTAAAATATATGGAGAACTGAGTCAAATTTATAAGAATGCAAGTCATTACCCAATTGATAAATGGTCAAAGGATATGAACAGGCAATTTTCAGAGGAAGAAATTAAAGTTATCTATAGTCATATGAAAAAATGCTCTAAATCACTACTGATTAAAGAAATGCAAATTAAAACAACTGTGAGATACCACATTACATGTATCAGATTGGCTAACATGACAAAACAGAAAAATGATAAATATTGAAGAAGATGCAGGAAAACTGGAACACTAATGCACTGTTTGTGGAGTTGTGAACTGATCCAACCACTCTGGAGAGCAATTTGGAACTATGCCCAAAAGGCTATAAAGTTGTGAATACCCTTTGACCCAGAAATTCCACTTCTAGTTCTGTATCCCAAAGAGATCACAAAAATGAGGAAAAGATCCACAAGTACAAAAATATTTATAGCAGTTCTTTTTGTGGTGGCCAAGAATTGAAAATTGAGGGGATACCCATCAATTAGAGAATGGATGAGCAAGTTGTGGTATATAAATGTAATGGAATACTATTGTGCTATAAGAAATTATGAACAGGCAGACTTCAGAAAAACTTGGAAAGACTTGTATGAACTGATGCTGAGTGAAGTAAGCAGAACCAGGAGAACATTATAGAGAGTAACAGCCACATGGTGCAAAGCCTAACTTTCGTAGACTTAGCTCTTCTCAGCAATGCAAGGATCTAAGACAACTCCAAAAGACTCATGATGGAAAATGCTGCCCACATCCAGAGAAAGAACTATGGAGTCCGAATGCAGCTCAAAGCATACTATTTGCTCTCTTTTTTTGTTGTTTCATTTTGTTTGTTCTTTCTCATGGTTCTTCCCATTGGTTCTAATTCTTCTTTACAACACAACTTGCTGTAATTTAAAATTTTTAAAAAGTAAATGTTGAAAACTATCTTTACATGTGATTGGAAAAAATAAAATACTATTAAGTGGGGGGAAAAAACCCTTGCATTTTGTATATGAGGAAACAAACCTGAAAGGGTTGAGTGACTTGCCCAGGGTCACACAAGTAGTGTCAGTGGTGGAATGTGATTCCAGATCCTGTGACCAGAGAACCAGTCTTCTTTCCCCTGTACGAAACTCTGTACCCCAACTACAAAATGCACATCATAGCACATGCACTACCTATCTCATAGGATTATTGCAAGGAGAGCACTTTGCCAAACCTAAACATGTCATAGAAATGTGAGCTATTATTATTCATAGCTACCCAGCAGTATTTACCAATATGTTCCTTTGAAAGAGTTGGGCAAAGATATTAACCTGATAGCAACCTGAGAAGGGTTTTTCTACCCTGGAAACCGTGGGGCTATGTGCCCAACAGGCAAAGCATAGAGGGAGAGCAGGAAGGGATTTCTCAGCTTAGTTTTGTATTTCTCAACTAAAATCCTCATACGATCACAAATTTGGAGCTGGAAGAAACCTTAGGGATCATCTAGTCTAGGCCCTTTATTTTATGGAAGAGGAAATTAAAGAATACATAATCATAAATCTAGAGCTGGAAGAGACCCCAGAAGCTATCTAGAACAACCCCTTCATTTTACAGATGAAGACTGAGACCCAGAGAGACTAAGGGACCTCACAAAGTCACACAGGTTGTAAGGAATAGAGATAGGATTTGAACCCAAACCCCATGTTGTGATATCCAGCGCCTTTCCCACTGTATACCCCTCCTGATTTGAGCTGAGATTTTATCTCACTCTCAGATGAAGGGTGAATTTATTCTTGTCTCTTCTTTGGAATATTCTAATCTGTAGAGCTTCCCTGATTTCTGTTTGCTGCTTAGATAAATAAGTTTATTCACTATTCACTATTTGTGATGGTCTTTTGTGTAACCAGCATTGGGTGGGAAGAAGCTAGTGAGTGTAAGTTAAGAGATAAATATCATAATGTCAATCAGGGAAGTGGCTTTTGTTGAACTATTAAACCCCTTAGACTAGAGATATTTGAAGAATGTCAGTTATAATTTTATTTTGATTTCTCTCTTGGAGCCTGGAAGGGCCCATTCTCAACAATCCTGCCTGCCCCTCCTCCACAGCTAGGTTGCTAGTAGTGCAAGTATGGCCCTACTCTTACTTTTAACAAAAGGGAGCAAAACCTCAGATCCAATGTATCCATGGAACCCATGAATCACATATCCGTATGTGTGTGTTTAGACCAACTCCATATACATTAGAAATTAATACATGTTAGATACTGATATATTTTTAAAGGAATCTGCAATTTTAAAGCTTTATTTCTTTGAATCAGATTTATGGGAGACTAAAAGGAAAATGGGTATTTTTTAAACCACTTAGGGGGAGATGTTTATCCAAGGTGCAAAATTCAACATTGTCAAGTCTAGTGCAAAGCAATGCCCATGACTCCCTAAATAATAAAAATAATCATGCACATTTCTATAGTGACTTAATATTCCCAAAGCGCTTTCCTCACAACTCTGAGAGGTAGGCAGTACAATTATTATAAAAACAGTTTTACAGATGAGAAAGCTCAGGCTCAGAGAGCCAAAAGAATATTGAACCAGAGTCTCAAGGCCTTTCCTAGTACACGTCATGCATCCTCTTCTGGCCCAGGGGATTCAGCTTGCACCTGTGTGCTCTTGTGAGAAAAAGATCAAATAGCTGCAAGAACAATTCACCTGAAGGAAGTGTGGTGGAGTGGAAAGCACGCTGGTTCTGGAGTCAGAAGACTCGTGTTCAAATACCACTTGTGTTGCTACTTTTATTTTCTAGGGCAAGTCACTGAAGTTCCCTGAGCCTCCATTTCCCCATCTGTAAAATGAGGGATGGGCAATAGACAAATGGCCAAAGGATATGAATGAAATCCAAGATGTCAATAAGCAAATATAAAAAATGCTCCAAATCACTAATAGTTAGAGAAAGGCAAATTAAAGCATTAAAGCAAATTAAAGTTCTGCCTCACAGTCAACAGATAGTTAAAGATGACTAAAAAAATGGCAATTATTGGATGGGCTGTAGAAAAATAGGCATATTAATTCACTATTGGTGCAGCCATGAATTGGAAAGCAATTTGGGATTACGCCATAGAAGACACTAAACTATGCATACTCTTTGACCCTCGTGTATCACTAATAGGCCAAAGAGGTGAAGAAGAAGAAGAAGAAGAAGAAGAAGAAGAAGAAGAAGAAGGAGGAGGAGGAGGAGAGGAGGAGGAGGAGGAGGAGGAGGAGGAGGAGAGGAGGAGGAGGAGGAGGAGGAGGAGGAGGAGGAGGAGGAGGAGGAGGAGGAGGAGGAGGAGGAGGAGGAGGAGGAGGAAAAGGAACCATATGGACAAAAAATATTTCTGGCAGATCTTTTTATAGTAGAAAAGAACTGGAAACTTAGGAGGTGAGCATCTGTTAGCTAATGGCTAAACAAATTATGTTGCATGAATATAATGGAATATTACTGTCCCATAAGAAATAATGAAGTAGACAGTTTCAGAGAAACTTGGAATTTCATGTTTATGTTCAATTCTCTTTTCTATTAATTATGTACAAATGTTCATCTTAGTAGATGTTTGTAAAGTTCAAAAATAAAAAAGAATTGATGAGAGGATGCAATTAGATGGCCTCTGAAGTCCCTCCTAGGCTTAAATCTGTGATCTTTGAAAAAGGAATGACTTGTGGAATTAAACATGAGAGCTGTCATCAGATATCACAGGGCAAGAAGTAATTAACCACTTATTCCTTAAAAGCTTCACAAGGGAAATTAGTGCCAATGTATGAAAGCCACAGGTGTCAGATTTTGCTTAAATATAATAACTTTGTAACAATCTGAACTATTCAAAAAATAGAACAAGCTGCTTTGAAAATTCTGCCTCTTTGGAAACATTCAAGTAGCTGCTAAATGAATGACCACTAATCAGAAATAACGTGGATGGGATCACTGCGTTTATTTGGAGGCTAGACTAGGTGGTCTGGATTCAGATGACTGATTTTGAATCAGTAGGACCCTCAGAGATCATCTATACCAATCTCCACATTTTAGAAATGAGGTAACTGGGGCTCAGAAAAAATGAGATTTGTCTAAAGTCTTACAGGTAGTAAGTGGAGGAGCCGGAATTCGAATTCAGGTCCTCTGCCACTCAGTCTGGCACTATTTCCTCTGTACCTCACCTCACCCCTGTTTCATCTCTAAAATCTTTAGAGGCACTAAATCTAAAGTAGAAACCAAATTCATAATTAAAATTGCCTCCTGAGTGCATATTTCTACCAATGGCCTTTGCCTTTAATCATTTCAGATTTCCCCACTCTGCCTTTTAAAATGATGCCTAAAAGAACTCTACCCCTCCTGTGTTGCTTTCTTGCTCTTCTTTTCCACCAGTTTGACCCCTTCGTGTTTCCTCCATCTCGCAAACAGTTGGAGGTCCACTCTGCAGTTTTCCCAGCTCATCTTTTTATTTTACCAAGTCGCTGCTGTCATCTGGTGGTGAAAAGAGGTAACTGCAGGTTTAAACTTAACCAGCGTTCTATGAGGAAAATTACGCTTCCCATCCCATGTTTTCTAGGAATGCTTCAGGTGGAAAGTAGGATCTACAGACATTGTAAAAACATCAGATAGCTTACCATCTCAGGGAAGGGGAAGAGGAGGGAGGGAGGGAGAGAATTTGGAACTCAAAACCTTTTTTTTTTTACAAAATGTTAAAAATTGTTTTAACATGTAATAGGGAAGAAAATAAGATACTATTTTTAAAAGGGCTCATTAAAATCTAGATTCTTTAAAAATGAATGATCAGCAAGTCATCCTTGTGCCTACTAAAATATGGCTCCTGCTGTGGACCGATGTTGGATAACTCTCCCACTCACCATCTACTTTTAGGATAAAAGCACCCCTTCCTAGCCACCACTCCCTTTTGTGTGCTAGCTCCCCCACCCCCATCAGAATGTAAGCTACTTGTCTTTAATTTTGGTGTTTGTATTCCCAGAAGAGTGCATGGCACATAGTAAGCATTCAATAAATGCTTTTTATTCATTCATTCCTCCATAGATCTGCTTTAGTCCTAGCACAAAATTAAAAGGTTAGCCCCCTGAGTGCGGGAGCTTTTTCAAAGTCACCCCAGGCAAATGCTTGCCTAGGCTATTTTTAGAGCCTCCTAGAAAGAGGATTCTACAATCAGGCAAAAATCAATGCTGTGGACTAAAGCATTATTTTTAAATGTTGAACTATGGTCTACAATCAACAAAATATTATTCAATGCAGGAAACATTTGAGTGGTTGCTGTGTACAAAGTACTGTACCAAATGCTGACACTCTGAAGACAGAAATAGTCCTGATCTTCGAGAAGCGTATATGCTAATGAAGGACACACCATGTACCTAGATAGAGTAATGTAAGATAACCCACTTGGGAGGAACAAAGCCCTAGAGATCAGGGAATTCAGGAAAGCTTTCTGGAGAAGGTGACGCAGGAACACAATGGCTTTCTCTAAGTCCCAGCTAAAATCCCCCCTTCCACAGGAAGCCTTTGCCAACCCCTCTTAATTCTAGTGCCTTCCCTCTCTTATTTATTTCCTATTTATTCTGTATATATATATATATATATATATATATATATATATATATATATATATATATATATATATATATATTTGTTTGTTGTCTCCGCCACTTAAATTGTGATATCCTTGAGGTCAAGGACTGTCTTTTGCCTCTTTTTGTATCCGCAGTGCTTAGCACAGTGCCTGGCACACAGTAGGCACTTAATCAATGTTTATTGACTGACAATGGCTCAATGGAGAAAGCCCTAGCCAATGGAGTTTGAGAACTTGGATTCTGACACCTACCATCTACATGACCGTGGACAAGTCACTTAACTTCCTGGGCCTCAGTTTCTTCATCTCTAAAATGAAGAATTTAGACTCGATTACCTCTGAGGTCCCTTCCAATGTTGGATCTATAATCCAATGATCTTTAGAAAAAGGTAAAGTCCCTGAAAGGTTGAGTCGAGGCAGGTGTACATTCCAGGCATGGCAGATAAATAGGCTGTGCAAAGACCCAGGAAACTAGTGCATAGTATAGTTTGACTGGAAGGTGGAATGTGTAAAAGGGACTAATGAGAAGTGACTGGGAAAAAAGTAGGAAGCCAAGGGCTTCACGGAGGGCTTCAGAAGCAAGGCTAAAGCATCTGTATTTTCTCCTAGAGGCGATGGGGAGTCACCGAAGATTTCTGAGCAAGGATTCAGAACTGGTCAGAGCTACTTTATATTTTGGCAGCTATGTGAAGAAAGAATTAAAAAGGAAAGAATTTGGGGGACAGGAAAACAATTAGGGCATAACACAAAAGATGCACATTTTTTCTTTACCATCTGAGGTAACATGCAAGATTCTGCACATGTTTCCCTACTCCACAGAATCACAAAACAGATGCAAAACATACCAGTTGCTGACTCACTTTCCCCAGGTACTGATGCTCCCCTATCTTACAGCATAAAGAAAGAAACGGTATTAAGTAAGAAGACGAGAGAGGAAAATTCACAGATGACCCTATTTTACATTGAGCGTACCTGAGAATCCCAGACATATTAGACAGGATGTACCAGATTCCTATCACAGTGTGGCTTGCAATGTGGATTCAGCCAATGCTCAAGAAATTGCTCCTCTGCTCTCTGCTCCAGCTGAAGAAGGTAAAGCATGTATTCCTATTGGAAATAAAGCATCACATTGTGGGTGGAGAAAGAGGATATGTTTAGGCTCATCTGACCACTCAATCAACTGGCAAACACTTTGTAAGCACCTACTAGGTGCCAGGCAGGCACTGTTCTAGGCAATGGCTTTACAAAGAAAAAAAAAATGAAATAGCCTTGAAGGAAATTAAATTCTATCAGGGAAGATATACGCATACACATATGGCTATATACAAAATATATATGAAATAAGTATGAGGTAGTTTTGGTGGGGAGACTCTAGTCCTTGGGAAGGATGAAGAAAGGTCTCATGGAGAAGGCCATGCTTGAGCTGAGCTTTGAAGGGAATGAGATTCTAAGAGGCTGAGATGGGGAAGGAGCGTATTTCCATCACGGAGGATAGCCAACTCCAAGCCATGGGACAAGAGATGGAGTACTGTGTGTGAGGAACACCAAGCACAGTCTGTGAGACCATAAAGTGCATGAAAGACAGTAACACACGATGAGGCTTTCGAGATAGGTTGGAGCCAGATTACAAATAGCTTCAATGCCAATCAGATGAATGTATATTTTTATCTTAGGAATTACAGGGACATTTGGAGTTTACTGAGTTGGATAGTAACAAGCTCACATCTGTGTTTTAGGAAAATCATTTTGGAGGTTTTGTGGCAGAAAAGGAGAAAGAATTGAGGCAGAGAGACCAATTAAGAGGTTATTACAATAGGTCAAGTGAAAGGGTTGTAGCTATATAGACGTAAATGATTTTTAAATCTGTATAGGCCGATGAGATCACCAAGGGAGGGGGCAAAGAGAGAAGAGGGCCCAAGATGGAGTTTTAGGGCACAAAAAAAGATAGGGGGTGGGATATGAATGATGAGCCAACAAAGGAATCTGAGGAAGAATGTCAGATAAGTAAGAGGAGAAGAAGTAGAATTGTAAGGGATGTAGCCAACTTCAGAGCAAGTGTAAAGAAATCTTAAGAATGAAACAAGACCATGAAGGCTCAAATAGTGCTATAGGATAAGTGGCTGAAGACCCATTTGAGATGCGATTTCTTTTCAGTGATTTAACAAGGACATAATTTTACTAGTGTAGGGATTGTGTCCATGGTGAGCAGTTAACTAACTACTTCTTTCCATAGTAGTCTTTAACATAAATGGATGTCTTGTAGTTACCACGAACTCAATATATCCAAAACAGAATTAATTGCCTTTCCTTCCATCCATGTCACCCCCCTTCCTAGTTGCTCTATTTCTGTTGAGGGATCACTGTCCTTCCAATCACCCAGATTCACAAACTCAAACTTATTCTAAACTCCCCACTCTCTCACCTGGCATATTCTATTAGTTAAGTCTTGTGAATTTTACTTCCATCATATCTCTCACATTTGTCCCCTTATCTCCAATCACAGGACCACTACCCTAGTTTAGACCCTCATTCAATTCTCATCTGGACTACTGCATAGCCTCCTAATTGGGTTCCCTGCCTCAAGTCTCTCCAACCCATCCTCAATTTGTGTTTCTAAATCCCTGGTCTGATCAAGTCACTCCCCTATTCAGCAAACCCAAGGGGCTCACTTTAACCTCTACGATGAAAAAAATTTCTTCTGTTTGTTATTTAAAGCCCTTCACAGAGTTACATGAACTGATGATGCAAAGTGAAGTGAGCAGAACCAGGAGAACACTGTATGCAGTAATAGCAACATTGTGCAATGATCAGCTATGATTGACTTAGCTCTTCTCAGCAATACAATAATCCAAGACAATTCCAAAAGATTCATGATAGAAAATATTACCCACACCCAGAAAAAGAACTGATGGAAACAATGCAAATCAAGGCATACTATTTTCACTTTATTTTTTCATGGATTTTTTTTTCATTTTGTTCTGTTTCCTCTTTCACAGCATGACATATGGAAATGTGTTTTACGTGATTGCACATATATCAAATTGTTTACTGTCTTAGGGAGGGAGAGATAAGGAGAAAATTTGGAATTCAAAATTATATTTAAAAAATAAATGTTAAAAATTGTCTTTACATGTAATTGGAAAAAATAAAATACTATTTAAAACAAAACAAAAGCCCTTTACAACCTAGCTCCAAGCTACATTTCCAGCCTCATTCTACATCCTTCTCTTTCATACATTCTTTGGTCTGGCCAAAGTGACCTTGCTGTTCCTCACAAATGACCCTCCATCTATTTTGTCCCCAATGCCTAGTATGTACCCCCTTCTCACTTTCTCTATCTTGGAATACCCAGTTTCCTTCAAAGCTCATCTCAAATCCTACTTCCCACTTCCTAATCTCCCCAGCTAAAATGAACGTGCTCCAAAATCACCTTTCATTGTTGTATATACTAAGATGTACATATGTTGTCTCAAATACATTGAATAGAATAGAAGTTCCTTGAGGACAGGGACAGTTTCATTTTGTCTTTGTATTCCCAGCACCTAACACAGTGCCTGGCATATGGTAGCCTTTTAATAATTGCAGTGGCCAACTTCCTTTAGTCTGGGGAGAAGGGCAGGGTGGAGGGAGTGAGGCATTAATGAATTAAGCCATTAACAAAGCCAGAGAAATCATAGTATCAGAATGGACTTTAGACATTTTCAAATTCAACATCTCACCAAGGGCAAAAATCCCTTCAATGAAACTCCTGACCATTGCTCAACCATCCTCTACCTAGGTTGCAAGTAAAGAACTCATTCATCGTAAGATAAACCATGCCATTGTTGGATTGCTCTGTTACTGTTTTTCTCCTTACATTGATGCTTAAATCTGTGAAGCTATTAACTTCCACTTATTGTCTATATAACACACAGAGCAAATCCAGTCCCACAGGTCTTTGAATATTTGAAGACAGTTTCCCAATCTACCACTAACACTACTGCAGCCCCAAACCTTCTTTTCTCCAGTCTGTTTCCTGAGTTCCTTCACTGGTTCTTCCATAGCATTGGATTTAAAAGTTGACAAGACCTCGGAAATCTCACAATTCTACCAATGAGTGAAATGAAGCCCAGGTGAGTGACATGACTTGCCCAAAGTCACCTGGTGGTTGTTGTTGTTCATCCTTCATTTTCAAAGAGGACCAGTGACATCACAGGTGATGTCTTGACTCCTGCATGAATGGGATTTAAGTGAGGCAGAGTTACCCAAAGTCGTCAGCCTCACTCTCTTCCAGAGCCATCAAAGTCCAGTGGCAGGACAAAAGTCAGGATGACTGGTGATGGCCTGCAATGCAAATGGATGACCTTGGCATCTTTGATATCAGAACAAGTTCTAAGCATTCCACAGCACCTTCTTCAGCCTCCTTCATGGCCATTGGAACAAATTGTTCTCATCTGCCCATTCCAACAAAGGAAGTCTTCACATTCTTGGTGTACACATCCCCTATGGGGTTTGAGGTCTGCCAATAACCCTCAACTTGGTTTAACCATTTGCTGAGATGGGTTCCCATGGTGTGGCCACTGCACATGCTACAGCTTCTTAAAGCCGCAGGTGAGAGTTGGTTGAGAGGTAGACACCAAAAGTGGATAAGCAGCCCTAAAAACTGTTTGGCAAGCCCTCACACCGGCTGTACTAGTCCTCTCTGAGCACCCATACACACCACGCTGATAGTAAGGAGCAGAGCAGAATTCAAAATAGCTCTTCTGACTGCAAATCCATCATTGTTTTCATTGCTCCATTTTTTTCTCCATTTGTGGCAACATACAGACCTCTCACTATCATGATCACCCTCCTATGAACACAAATTATATCCATGCCTCTCTTATCCTTGAAAAAAACTGTCATTAGATTCTACCATCCCTGATAGTTACATTTTACAATTGTCCCTTTCTCAACTAAACTCCCTGAAAAAGCCATCTAAACTAAGTGATCTTATTTCCTCTCCTCTCACTTTCTTTTCTTTTCTGGCTTCCAACTTCATTATTCAACTAAAACTCTCTCTCCAGAGTTACCAATGATCTCTTAGTTGTCAAATCTAACAGCTATTTCTCAATCCTCATCTTTCTCTACCACTTTGTAGCATTTGACACAGTTGATAGACTTCTCCCCTGGATTCTGTTCTCTGAGTTTTCATGGCACTGCTCCTTCTTGGTTTTCCTTCTCCCCATCTGACCATTCCTTCTCAATTTCCTTTGCTTCATCCATGTCTCATCTATTAACTGTAGGGGTCCCCCAAAGCTCTGCTGTAGGTTCTTTTCCGTATTTTTTTCCTCCACATTCTCTCATTTGATATCATTAGCTTCCAAGGGTTCAACCATGATGGCCATGCTAATGCTTCTATACACCCAGCCCTCATCTCACTCCAGAGTTCAGTCTTGCATAACCAATTGCCTAATAGACATCTCAGGGATATCTCAAACTCAGCATGTCCAAAACTGAGCACATCATTCCTCCTTGCCCTAAAACCCACCCTTCTTCTATATTTCTTTATTACCGTCAAGGGCACCACTATCTTCCTAGTCATCTAGGTTCACAATTTCAGTGTCATCATTGATTCCTCATGTTAACTCATCCTTTATATTTAATCAATCGACAAATCTTACCATTTCTATTTCCATAACATCTCTTGCTTATGTCCTCATTTCTCCACTCACACAGCTCACACCCTAATTCATGCTCTTATCACCTCTTGCCTAAACTATTGCAACAGCCTTCTCACTGGTCTCCCTGACTCAAGTCTCTCCCCACTTCAGTCTGTCCTGCACATAGCTGCCAAAGTTATGTCCTTAAAGTGAAGGTCTAATCATGTCACTCCAATTCAGTAAGCTTTAATGACTTCCTATTACCTCTAGGATCAAATATTAAATTCTCCAATTGACATTTAAAGCTCTTCATAACATGACCCCTTCCTATAGTTCCAACATTCTTAGTCATTACTCCCCTCCATGCACCATATTGGTCTACTCACTGCTTCTCCCACATGACACTCCATCTCTAATCACCATGCCTTTGCTCTGGCTGACTCTCATGCCAGGAATAATCTTTGTCCTTACCTATTCTTCTTAGAA